AAATTCTTATTACTCGTTATTTTAAATTATAATTACATCATTGTTATATCGTTGCGATTTATTAATTGAATGGATAAGCGGCCAGATATGCAGAACATCTATTACACCGGTTTCTGTTTATAGCATGAGACATCATCCGCAGGATACCGTAAATGTAATATGAGCGATACTTACAAAATTACACCAATGTTGCAAAATGGATTGCCGCAAACCAACCGCGAGATTGAATTCTTCGCTGCTATGATGTACTTGATGTTGAGCCCATAAAAAATGTACCTCTGTAAACGGGCGAGAAATACTATAAATTTGTCAAATAGGGGATCGACAATCACACACACACATGGTTGGATAGGAATTTAACCATGGTTACTCCGGTGAACCCAATAGTAACAGAAATCCACCCCCACGGCCGTGACACACCAAGTCCATGCTGAGTTCCAAGGAAGATTCCACAAGCGATATTTCTCGTAAATTATGATGTATGCGTAATATTCAGCGCCGCGGAAAAAAATACTGGAATGTTCGTTAAAAAATCCGATTAAGTAAGTAAGTCGTAATAAAAATAAATATATTAACAATAATAATAATTCATATTTAATCATTATTAAATCATAATCATGTTTTCAACTTGGAAAGTAATAAGAGATAAAGAGATATACTATACATTTTTACATTTAAAGTACACGATAAGAATAAATAAAATACAATGTGTTGATAATAATACATATATGTTAAGATCAATCTTTTTTTTTTCTTATCTTTAAATTAAAAAAATTTATGAAATAATAAAAATTTATTAAATAATAAAAATTGCTTTAGAATGAACAAATATAGAAAATTTTAATTGTACATCAGCATTTCAGTTATCGTATGATAACTATATAACCGTCAAAAAAATATTCGTCATATGCATACAAATATAATATAATAGAGATTTCCCTTATCATCTTCGTAATCCATAAACAGAGATTCTATAACTATATTTTATTTTTCTAATATTATTTATAGAATATTTTTTTTTCTTAATTATATCGAGTAAAACTCGATAAATAAAAGAATAACAATATAAATAGAATAATAAAACGTTACCTATGCTTACCGGCCAGTTTCTTGAAATAACCAATGAGATAAAGATGTCATTTCATCGTTCAAACGGAACTTCTTTTTCTTTTTAAATATTAATATAATTTGCTCCAGTATAATAAGAACGAAGAATGGTAACCATACCTACATATACATTTATTTTTTATGATATAATTATTTAACGCTTGATTGCAATTGGTAATTTAAACAATAATCAATACTGTTTCGTAATTTAACGTAGAAAATTAAAAATAATTCATCAATTAAATTATTTTATGGAAGTAACAAAATTAAATTAAATTTTATTAAGTATATTTATTTTGAAGTTTAAAAAAAATATGTGATTTTATATGATATATAGAACATTCTGAGTATATATTTAAAATATTATTATTTATAAAAAAAAAAGGTGTAAATATGATTACCTGCTGATGATAATCAGGAACTTCATGCGGGAATTCGAAGATAGTTTCATAGGGGTTAACAAAGTACCACAGCTTTCCTGCGTTCTTCAACTCGTTGATCAAATCAACGTTTGAGACATTCATTTTATTTGTTAATATATTACACTGTTCAAAATGATTTAATGAAAAATTTTAGCCGAATTATGAAACAAAATAAAGATAGTGAAGCACTATAATACCATCCGATTCTGTTTTAGTCATCGAACTGAGTGCGTATCGTTTATATATGTAAGTTCGAGCTAACCGAGGACACGTGAGTATGCGCGCGCGATGCTCTTTCACGGCCGTATGTGGTAAAGGCGCGACAATGAAGATGCAATAAGATTTTATTCAAATTAAACGATTTTAAATACGTTGTTATTAAATTAAATAAGATGACAAATTAATTTTTACTCATGAAATTTTTACTCAGAATACACTCTAATCATATGAGTTTCCTGTTAACAGAATATTATTATTTACTTAATATAAATATATCATAAATTTAAAAATAAAAAATATTCTAAAAAAATTAAAAAATAATAATTCGTTATATTTTTCGATGAATTCATTATTTAATTTTCTGTCATCATAAATCATAACATTAATTAATATATAAGAATTATTAATTTATTATTATAAATTGAATCAGGAATTAATGAAAATTTAAATTATTAAGTAAAAATTGATCAATTTTTAAAAGTTTCTTTTATACCGATTTAAAACAAAAAAATTAATTATTATTTACAACTTTCTTTGAAATGATACATATATAATTGTTTACTTAATATAAATTGAAATTCCCTTTATAATATTTGGGATAATGACATTGAAAGAATTTGTAAGAGTAGGAAATTACATGATACACCACTGCACGTAAACCTTCAATATGTCAGACTGCATTGACGGCAGACAGGGTGTTTCATAACGCGCATTAATTATTCCCGCAAGAGTGGATAAACCAATAAATTATATTATTATAATTATATGCAAAATTGTTTTTCCATTTTATATGTCAAATTAAAAATATTAATCAATAATATACAAAATATTTTTATTATTTTATTTCATTTTTATGTCTAGATAAAATTGTTATTTATAGTTTTATAGAAGATAAGAAATATGTGCAAAAAGTTTACAGACATTAAGATATTATTTATTTCATTTTTGAAATTCGATTTTAGAACTGAATTTAGAAATTTTATTTTATTTAAATTTGATATTTTATCTTATTTTATTTATTAATGTTTTATTTTATATATATATATCTTTGCTAAAGTAAAATATATAAATTGTATATTTAAACTTACATGTATATATTTGAATAACGAAAAAAATTAAATAAGAAAATAATCTTTTAAAAATAATAAAACATTGTGAATTTGTAAATTTTTCTTATCAATTCATTTAATAAAATTTATTTATTATTAACAAAACTTTTAAAAAAAAGTACTTTAAAATTATTATTCATAAATTAAAAGAGTTATATTTACATATTAAATGTATATTACGTAAGAATAACATGTATAGTATGAAAAGCATTAAAATAGAAAGTTAACATTAATTTCTTACGTAAATAAAGTAATTCTAATTTTTTATTAATATTCGTAACAATATGAATTTTTTTTTTAATTAATAAGCTTTCTATACTTATTATATCTTATAAAATAATACTTTTATACTTATTATTATAAAAAAAATGTTATTTTAATTTTATTATCTTCAACCTCATATCTTCTAATGTATAATATCATTCATACGAAATAATCTATATTAAATTCTTATTTATTTAGATAATAAGGTAAACAAAAAAGTTCTTTTGTAAAAATTTTATATCAATCTCGCCTCTACTTTTTATTTTTGAATTATTCATTTTGTATATTACATATTATCTATTTAAAAAAAGATATCTGTTTAAAAAAAGATAATGTAAGGAGCTAACATCGAGAATAATAAAAAATATAAATAACAGATTAAATCTGAATGTCATAGATGATGTACAAGAAATGCTTTACATTATCGCTATTTCACAATATTAATTGTTATTTCATAAGAACTGTGTAAATTTAATTTGTTTATACACAATAAATATTAATAACAATAAAATATTAAATTACATTAATATATTTTACAATAACATTTTGCATAATGCATTTTCGATTCGTTCATATTTTTCGACATTTCAAATTTATTTTCAATTTATTTGAAATTTCATATTTGTAATAGCTTAACCAAAAAATTATTCGGAAAAACGTATAAAAACAGTAGAATGTTTTGTTTTTTAGTTATTAATAATCAATTTTATGCATTTATTACTTTTTTTAAATTTTTAAAATTTTAATATTCGTGAAATTTATTTTATTATTAAATAATTTAATGAGATTTTTTTTATTTTTTAATATTATAAATGATATTGCATATATATACATTATATAAATTATATCAAATATCTCATGGTCAATTAAGTAATTGAGATTATGACTCTACTAATATGCACTATCAAACAAGACTACATAATATTAGTTGATTTTTATAATTTGATCCATATATGGATATAATGAATTTTTGGTAATAATTTATTTAAGAAATTCTTTCTTTTTTTAATAAAATTGTTAAAATAAATTTTTTTCTGAAATGAAATATTAAAAACTTATAATATATATAATGTATATATTTAAGATTTTTGTTAAGTCTGAAAATCTAAATTTTATAGCTATATAAACATATAATTTATATTTTAATTAGTACATAATTTTATTGTATTAGTAATATTTGTATCAATTTAGTCTTCTATTATTTTTTAGTAAATTTTTTAAATATTTAAATTCAAAAAAAAATCTGTTAAGCAAATTTGCAAACTGATCATCACAACGAAATATTATTAACTTTATTAACTTTATATTATTAAGTTTATAATTATTTTTAATATGATATTTTTTAATATAATTATAAAATTTAGAACTACAAATAAATAAATTATAGTAATTATTCCTATTTATTACTTTTGCTTTTATAAAATATTATTTATTATTCATATTGTTTATTCATGTATATGATAAATATATATTATATTTATTAATTGCTGTAATTTTGAAAAAATTTTAAAAAGAGGAAAAAATATGTATCTTTAATACTGATTGTCTATTAATTATTTCATTATTTTTTTAAATTTGAGGATAAAAATGATTTCTGTTTTATCAACGTTAGATGTTTATGGTTATGCACGTGGAGAACGAGACATTGTCGAAAAATTGTAAATATTGAAAGTTAAAAGTAAAAAAAAAACTTACAACGTAAATAAATATTTTTTTTACTTTTATATAATACTTATTATATACTTAACAATGAAATAATACTAAACTATATATAATAGAATATATGATAGAATTTTTATAGGTTATATTTCTTATATGAATATTGAAATTTATTTATAAAAACTTGTATTTAATTTTACTTTTTATTTACAGTTGAATCATGAAAATAAAAAAAGCAAAAACCACAATGAAAAAAACAAAAAAATCTGTCATGAAAAAAAAGAAACAATTAAAAGATGTAACAACAGATGAATTTTTTAATCAAAGTTTTGAAGATGAAATAAATATTATTGATAATGACAATCAAGGTAATAATATATAAAAATGAAGTTAAAAAATATGCTTTTCTATTTTGATATAATAAATATATATAGTAAATTATAAAAAGCAAAATATAAAAATATATTGAAAGTCTATGTACAAAATTTTTAATTTTAATTATTTTAATTATTAAATAATTATTAAATATTTAATTATAAAATTTGATATATAATAGATAAAAATGCCCTTGAAGATAATGAAGAAAGTAGTGATAGTGACATGGATCCAGTACAGCATAAAAAATCTTTAATGAAATTAAAAGATACAGATCCCGAATTTTATAAATATTTAAAAGAAAATGATAAAAATCTTTTAGAATTTGATGTATCAGATGATGGTAATGAAATTGATGATGATGACAAATCTTCGTTAAATGAATTCGATATGAAACATATACCTAATGATCATTTAGAGGTATGAAAATAAAAAATAAATAAACTGAGAAAAGAAAAATTTTCTATGTATTTTAAATTTTAGGTTGCTAGTGATGAGAGTGATTATGAATTAGATGAAGATAATAGCATAAAAGATAAAAGAAAAATTACATTGCAATTATTAAAAAAATGGCAAGAAGAAATTCAAAAAGACAAGTATTATCTAATTAAATATTATAGAAATTATTTAATAATTATAGAATCAAAGAATATTCTTATTATTGATTTAATGTATGTCTTTATATATGATTTTTCAGGTCATTGAAAACAATTAAATGTGCAGTAGAAGCTTTTCATGCTGCATTAGAAACAATTGCTGAATCTTCTGATCCAGAATCTTTACAATATAAAGTAGAGGGTGGTGCAAGTTAGTATTTAAATATTTAATAACTTAGATATCATAAGTATAAATACATTTCTATTTCAATAATTAAAATTTTTTAGTATTTAATGGAGTTGTCCAGTTGTGTATATTGTATTTACCAGATGCATTTAAACGATACTTAAAATTAGATCTAGAAACTCATCATGTTCAAGTTCATAAAGTTAAAAGATTTACAAAAGTAAAGACTATTCTTAAATTATATTTAACAGATTTAATTAAGGTAAATGTTATTATTACATTTCAATATTGAATATTATTGACTTTAATCATTATAAAATATTTATATATAAAATATTTAAATATTCATTTGCAGATTTTACAAAACGTAACATCGTCTAATATTCTCACAGTTCTTTTAAAACATTTACATCAAATGTTATTATATACACAATCGTTTTCATCATTAACTAAGCCATTGTTAAAAATTTTATTAAAATTTTGGTCAAGTGGAGAAGAAACTGTTCGTGTTGTTTCTTTTTTAAGCATATTGCGTATTGTAACCAGTAATCGAAAATCAGTTTTAGAGATGTTGTTTAAGGTAAAAACAGAATTTTATTGCTATTTTAATCAAATATGAAAATGATTTTTATATAATTAATGTTTTTAATTTAAAAATTAAAACCTTGCAGACAATGTATGTAAAATATGTTGAAAATTCTAAATTTGTGTCTCTTACAACATTACCCGGAATAAATTTTATGAGACATTCTCTAGTAGAGATATACCTGCTTGATAATAATTTAGCATATCATCATGCTTTTTTATATATTAGACAATTAGCTATTCATTTAAGAAATGCTATGACTTTAAAGAAAAAGGTAGTATTATCTAAAAATTACATCTATATTTTTGTTAATATTAATTTTTATTATGAAGTGAAACTCGTATTTAATATATTATAGGAACATTTTCAAGCAGTGTATAATTGGCAGTATATAAATTCGTTGCGTTTTTGGTCAGAATTAATATATTTATCAAAAAATGATTCTATGTTACGTTCACTTTTATATCCTCTTATACAAGTATGTATTATCGTTTTTAATATTATAATTTATCTATCTACATTATAATATTAAATAAATATTTTTTTTTTTATTATAATTATAGATTATTATAGGAACAATCAAAGTAATACCAACACATCAATATTATCCTCTAAGATTTCATTGCATACAAATGCTAATAGATATTTCTAAAGAAACTGATACATTTATACCTATATTACCATTTTTACTAGAGGTAAAAAATTTAATTAATTATTTTGTGAAATATATAATACAAACAATATATGAAAATAGATTTAATTCTATATGAAAATAATTTTATAGATATTAGACTCTTACGATTTTAATAAAAAACACAAGGCAGTATCAATGAAACCAGTTCCTTTTATTTGTATCTTAAGGATGTCAAAGTCTCAATTACAAGAAAATGGTTTCAAAGATAATGTTATTGATAATATATATAAACTTATCTTAGAAAATGCTGCAAAAGATAGTCATACTGTATACTTTCCGGATTTATATATATCATGTATAATACAGGTAAAACAAATATTATTACAAGACATTTTAATACAAATGATGATTTATATATATATTTAATCATTTTTATTTCTAGTTAAAAGCATTTCTAAAGAAATGTCATATAGCAAACTATTGTAGAAAAATGAAACAATTATTAGATAAAATCGAAGAAAATAAAAAATATATTGAGACAGAACGGAATAAAACTGTAATTGATTTAAAGAATATGACAGAGATAAAGAATTGGGAAAATAGGATAAAAACACAAGGTACCTCATTATCAAAATTTTATGAATCTTGGATAAAAATCTATCAATCTCAGAAACTTAAATTACTTACAAAAAATGAAGAAGTAGCTGAATATAATTTACCAACTATAAGAAAGTTAAAAAAAGGAAAGTTAAGCAAAGAAAGTATAGAAGAAAGCAGCGAAGAAAGTGATTTTGAAATGAAAATAAAATCTGATAAGGAAAAATCTGATGAGAGTAAATTTGATAAAAGAAAATCAGAAAAACATTCTAAACCAAGAAGAAAAAAATTAAGAATTAACAATGACCAGATTAATTTACCTCAAGAAAGTACAGATATCGTGCAAGACATCAATAGTGACGATTGGGATTAAATATAATTTATTTCACATGTAATAATGTGTATGATAATAAATCGATATCAGTTTAAATTTTATAACATGAAACAATATTCTTTTAAAACATATTTTAGAATAAAGATTTTTACAACTATGAAAGTGAAAATAATATGATTAATTATTTATTAAAATTAAAAATAATATATTTATTTAAAAGTGCATACAAATTACGAAATAGATACTTTATGTTAAACATATGATAATTTTATTTAAGAAAATATTTGTTTTGGATACAATGTTATTCTAATTGTCATTTACCATATCTTTGAAATGTTAATTATGATAGAATAGCTATTTGAGAAAGAAATTACAACAAATTGTGACAGCATTAAATGTTATAATTTATATCGCGTACAGCAACAGCCACCGATTTCTGAGGTGTCGCTTTCTGATAGTCTATTTTTACCGAAGACGACTCAAGGCAGTCGGGAAGTTGGTATAGCGACGACTAGGCGCTATTATAAAGCATCGCGTGCTCAGCGTGCAGTAATTCATTTAAGTGAACGTTGCAGATAAGAAAAAAATCTTACAGAAAAAAAAATTAATATAGTGTTTCATTCGTTGAAAAATAAAAATATACAAGTGGTGAAGAAAATTTGAATAAACGACAAGCTATCCTTTGAAAGATTGAGCATTTGGACGATTCCATTGGAAGAAAGGTTCGGTTACGTAGGTGAATTGAAAAAAAAAAGCAAATCTTTAATGTTAAACGATGTAGCTGGAGCGTAAAATTTTCTTTCATGTTTGTAAAGAAATTTATAGTAGTCTGTTTAATATAAAAACAAATCTTCTTTCGTATTCCGGTTCTTTGCATAAGTTAGGCATGAATGAGTTAATATACCCGGCGATACTGATGACCGCTAGCCACTAAGTGCCGCGCTGACGGAGTTGCCGCGGTTGTGTGTGCCTAGTCAGCCACCTCTTGTGTCTGACCGGCCACATCCGTGCGTGCCAGGGAATATTTTGTAAGATGCGATTTTGTCTCTCATGGCGAGGGAGCCTTCGTCGTGAGAATCGTTCACTTTCCGTACGGTCCACTTTGTTCGGAGTATTAGTACACTCGCGGATTACGTAAATTCGAAAAAAAAATTGTAGCGAAAAGGAAAATCATCGTAAGATAAGGAAGAAAGAAACGAGCGAACTGTGAGTTCACGTCAAAAATGAGGAGAGCACCGTTTGATAAGTAAATTTTCATTTTCTTCTTTTATTTCGAAAAGAAATTAGGAAGAAAGAGAAAATTAATAAAAAAATAAAAAATTTCTCATCATTCATCTCTTTTTGTGAATGTTTTGCGTTATTCTTTTTGCCAATCGAACTGTGCTTAAATGTGCGATGCTTTAAAAACTAAACAAGTGTGTTGTTTAATACACTATCTTCAAATATAAGAAATTTAAAATAATCATACTATTATATTTTATTCATTGACAAATTCTTTAATATTAATGATATATTTTAAGAAAAAAAAAAAAAAAAGGAAATCAGTATTAACGTTGATCATAAAAAAATTGTTTTTCACAATAATATCAAAGATTTTTATAATAAACGCTAATATCGTTTTTACTTATCCGAAATATCTTTCTCAGTAATTTGCGTTCAATTTTAAAATCGTCGAATTTCTCTTACCGAATAATCTATTTAAAGTAACAGCTCAATCATGTTATTCATTGTTAAAATAATATTGTTTAAAATTCTAAAAATTATTAAATTTAATTAATTTGATTGCAAATTTAAGAGTATATTAAATATATTTTATTATATAGTAGTTTTTTTAAAAGCTATTTATAAAACAAAATTGTCTTTCTTTTGAAGTTTATCTTATATTTTACACTGTAATATATTTTAACTTTTATAAATATTGTTTCATCATTTACTTTTTATTGTTTACTTCAGTTTATTTTAATTTATTTGATCGTTTTTTCGATTAATTTTGTTCCTAATAAATACAAAACTGTTAGTACACCCCGAACGCAACCGCTCAAACTGTTACTGCGTATTACGTTACAACAGATAAATTTAGCATTTCTTTTGCACAGAACCTCATTGTACCGCTGCCAATACTGCAACGCGGAATTAATTGGCTGCTTGGAAGATAACCAATTTCCTTCGATAAAAAAAATCCAATTAATCCAATGATATATATATATATATATAATATATGAAATCTTATTACATTTATATCTATTACATTTTAATCTAATAACATAACATTAATATATAATAGTATTTATAAAATAAATTTCTAAAAACAAATTATAAGACGACATTTATAATTTCTTTCTAAATTGAATAATAAAGAGTATTTATTATAATACTATTGATTTTCTTTCTAAAACAAATAAAATAGAATATTTTTTATAAATTTTTTTCAAAATAAATAAAATAGCGTATTTTTATAAGTTCAATCATTTATAAAGTGAACTCTTATAAAAAGTTATAATATCATAACTTGCCACAGTTTCGCTCTTTTTCTACTTCCTTTTATAAATACATAATATCTATATATTATGTTTCATCAATCATAAATCACAAATTAATTAATTCGAATCATTAAATAATTATTTCAAGATTCTTAGATCTTTAATATTATTTAACATATTTAACTATTTTAAAAATGGCTTCGAAATAATATAAATTTTTACCCTCGATTAATCTTCATATTCAGCTAATTGTAAGAAAATAAAGCAAGTACACATTTAACATTGTAAACGGTTTATACAAAAACGTAGACTAAACAATTACCATTCCAACAGACATAATAATACAACACGGGACGTTTTGAGCAACACGTATAGTTCGTACAGAGTCGCGTCTGATTCAAAGGATGCAGAGTATCAGTACAGCGTAAATTATAGCAATATACAAGAGAAAAATTATCTGCAACGAAGTGTTTCTGCGGACAATGTTGTAATACGTTCCCGCGGTTTTAAACCCTCTGATAGGCACGATCCCGTGAAGAGGAATTTCCTTGAGAATCTTACTTCAAAAATATTGCATTTCGATATGGTGAGTATTTTTTATATATTAATAAATTAAATATTTAGTATATTTGAAACACGAATAAGATTATTACAATACAGTGATTGTATTTAAAATTAAATGTGATTACATTACATTAAGTAGATTAGTACTAACAATGATAATTGTATAAGTAAATTTTATAATATACTTCAACTAACTTTTCCAAACAATGAAAACACATATATAACGTATTTAGGATTGACCTACAATAGTTTTATGGTCAATAACTTCGTGACTCTGTAAACTTGACTAGTTTGTATTCGTTGATGTATGTATTTACATCATCTATGTATTTTAGAATTTATAAATAATTATAATAAATAACAAATACTAATAATTTTATATCAATTTTTATTTAAAGGAGAGTAATGAAAGTGCGCCAGTCAACTTACAAAAATTACTCACTCCTGCTGCAGATTCGCAGGGAATTATGCAATCTAAAAATAGTAAGTTACCAATTAAATAAAAAATATCATTTATATATAAAAATTTAATAATTTGTAACTCATACAATATATAATTACTAATGTTATTAATCAATAAATGAGTTTAAACATAATCGGATATATAGAAACTTTTTGCAGGAAAAATGTTTGCATCTTCATATTTTTATGCGCCAACGCATCCAACCGTTGAGGATCAAGTTGAACTCGCTCGACGAATTTCGCATTCGTTGAGCGATGTAAAAAATATGAAAAGTAAAGGTCAATCTATGTATGTGAATAGGAAAAAAAGATCGGTTAAATGGATTCACGATGGCAATGGTACATATTGTACATATAATATATTTATATTTACAGATTAATAAATCTGATAAACACTAATCGTTATGTGATTACTTATTTAATTATTTAAATGGCATTACAGGCATAGAAGATGCAGAAGAACCTTTAACACCTGTTCACAGAGTAAGTGGTGTGTGTTCCAAATTACAATGTATATTTTTATATGTATTTTCAATAAAACTTATATAGGATATAAATGCTATTTTGATAAATATTCAATCTAATCTTTTATTGATGGCATTTTATTGAAAATATTGTTTTAATAGGATAAAATTCCATTAAAATGCATGATGAACCCGCATGGAAAAGTATTGGATATACATGGTATTCAAGCTTTAGGAGAAGAAGTAAATATAGAACCAATGCCAAAAAATCCCGAAAAACTTTTCGATATCGTACGTGATTTAAACAATCAAAGAGGCCGTGGTAATAAAGAGTTTACATATATATTAATTTTCTATTACATATATAAAACACCGATTGATTAAATAATATTTTTTTACACAATTTAGAAAAATATTATTCCAATATTTGTATATTTTGAGAAAATATAATATTAATTTATAGGTGCTGAAATATTCGCAAAACGCAGAAAAAGATCTGAGAAATGGGTTGTAGACAAAGATCAACCACAAACTCCAACCACACCCGGTATGCCAAAAATGCCAATGTATATGGGGAAATCGGTAAGATAACTATTTTAGTTTATTGAAAAAAATTCTCCAAAATATTAGATGAAATTAAATCTCGATATATTGGATACAGGAAATGAATGGCAGTTCAAAATTTTCAAGTCTATCTTCGCCTATTGTACCTGAACCAACCAATGAGAAATCATTTTATAATCCTTTTACCGTGGACTTGTCTTTAGATAATATAAATCAACCGACGACAGGTGTGTTTCAAATTTCAAACAAAAGTTTATATCTTCTTTATTTTACGCAATCTAGCTGGCAAATATTTATTTGGCAATGTTCCATTTCATATTCTAGTTTAGTTTCGAATTGTTTTCATATCGTGAATAAATACAATTTTCAAGGACTTAAATTCTAGCTAGACTACTTCATATCTATTTCTAGTCGATCTAAATCATTCTATTCTTTCAATTTACTTTCACTATCAATGTACATCTTATACATAAAATAATAATATGATCAATTAAAAGAAGGGGAAAAAGAAAATCGTTCTTAGATATTAAAAGCATCAAACGTTCTATATATGCGCACAAGCGGATGTTAAACTTGTTTGTTAAAACTTCGACAAGAGTTCAACAACCTAGAAAGCTTCAATTGGCAAACGACATCGATGTTATTCAATCGATACGTGACTACCGCCGCATTCTTTTTCATTGTATATCTAAAATAAACAACTATCTGTACATCATTGCCAATCGATATCTTTACACTGATTAATGCTATTAATATAATATATACAAATTAAACTGCATTGACATTTAATAATGAAATTTTTTTGACATACGAATAACATACAATAACATATAAAATATAACCTAAATCAAAGTCAAATGAAAATGCTTTACATTTTAACCACCATAATTGCATTTTAACCATCTAAAAATATTTCAGGCCGAAATCAAAATCGATGTAATGGTAAAGAGTGCAACCATTTAACTGAAGTAAAAAAAATTTATTTGAGAGAAGTGGCTGTTGGTACCGATAATGACTTTCCTTTTGACAAATCTCGATCATCGTCGATAGTTGAGAAATCACGTCGAATCACTTTCGAGCCTGATATCGATCGACATAACAATTATCATGGCAGAAATAACATTAGTGAAAATATGAGATATGAAATCACTAACAGACGTAACTATAATAATTATAACAAGGCTTTGCTGAATAAATCTAATTATTCTAATGCATATCATACTACTAACAAAGAAATTAAAAATTATATGAAAGAACAACGGGTAACGGAGTGTGTAAAGGCTCCTATTAATGATAAAGAAAAATTTGTAAATACTCAGCGGGAAATCGATAATGAAGAAAACGAATACACACCAATACCGGTCAAACAATTAATACAAGAATTTGAAAAAACATGTAGACCGGTTTTGCAGTACAAACAATTCAGTCCAAAGGTTATTCCAATTGTACAACAATCTCCCCTTGATAATGATATAACGCGATTTTTTGAAACACAAAACTCGATTAAGTACAACTCTGAAGAAAAGCATAGGAGGTGAGACAGAATGAAATTTAAAGTTACAAATAAATTATAAAATTCTATTTATTCATATGATAAATAGATAAAATTTATCGATATTTATATGATAAATAGATAAAATTATAATTTGAACTAATGACAGGATATTCGGAACTTCGAAATCTCGAAATCTTTCGGAAATCAAAAAGTTTGCAAATCTTAAATCTCGAATTGTGCTTGTAGGCTCAAGACTTTCGATTTATTTTAATGAATTTCGAGAATTTCGGATTTCGAGAGTTTCGAAGCTTCATAAAATCTCGGATTCGAATTTCGCGAATCTAAAAATTAGATGAACTCTGTTCGAAAATATTATTTTACTTGATTATAATATAGAATAAATGAGCGACAAAGATACGAAGAAGAAAGATACCAAGATCACTGTACCAATGGTTTCATTTCTACCGATGACACGGAATACACGAGTGATGGAACCGATTCCCAAACGAACGACTATAGTGAGGAAATAATCTATCGTGAAAAGTCAGAATCCTCGAGTATAATGAACGGCGATCAAGAATATTCGTCGACTTATCGCGAAGAATGTTCCTCCAGTCGACGTCGATCCGTCACTTCCGAAGAAGTAGAGAACTTTTGCAACAATGGAAACGAGAAATTCGTGAATACAGAGTCGGAAGTTCCTCCGGAAGCGAAGTCATTATTGCTCTCGATGATTGCTTCTCAGGAGGACATTTTGGAAACTATTAAACATTTGCGTAACACACCCGTTCTGGACAACTTATTGCATGGCGTTTCGCCGGATTGTAAATTCACTGATATCTGTCCGGATTCAAGCGATGTAGGCAAGTTAACCCGCATGCGCTTCTATTTTTTTAACATTTGCATTATTAACTACTTATATTTCATTCTCATTTCGTATTCTCATACTGTTAAAATCTGTTAAATTTATTTTGCATATTATCGTAGAGAAACGAGGAATTTTTAAAAATCTATTTTATTCTTACAGGTAAAAAGCTTTATGAAAATAATACCTACACAGGGCCAAAACTTGCTAGTGTTCATAATCTAGCTAATTATAATACGGCACCTCGAGGATGGGATCAATCTTTGACTTATTATCGGCCAATAAAATTTGAGAAATCACAAGAAATTGTTTATTCTGATTTTTAGATATAATTTGAATAATATTTCGTATATCGGTAAGTTTTAAGGTTTTATTTTGTTTAATGATTTAATTAATTTTCAATTTGAATAATAGGAATTAAAATGATTCCTTCTTCTTTCAGAAATCAATGATATAATTACAGAACTGTTTTTTGAATATTAGATTATTTGACATTTTCCCATTATAATTCATCTTTTCTTTTCTGATATACAAAAGATAATATTGACAATAATCGTCGTAAACAAGATTCTGCATCAAAAGAAAATAAATAAATAAATGTATATTTATTTATTTATTATTAGATATATGTGTAATATATTGTGCAATACGCATATATTTTGAAGCTTCGTTTTGTTTGACATAACTCTATATACATATATTTTCTCCATTATTGAAATGTTGCTTCTTATTTATGCTCTTTATTTATGCTTCTTAGCAGTGTTATTGCATTTTACTTTATAATATTATTTCAATAAATATTGTTTTCATAACAATAAGGTGTATCTTATCCATATATTTTATCCATATTTGTATCTATATTGATTATATTATAAATACATGTATATTAATTAAAAAATGAAAGAGATGAAATATAATTTATTTATCGTTAATTCCATAAATCGAAGTTGTTTATCGTTATAACATTATTCTCGGTTATAACTCGATATAATGTGATCGATGTAACACGATAATTTTTAAGTGTTTCAAAACAATTAGTTCGAAACAGATATTAAAAGATATTAATTTTAATCAAATATATTTGTGAAAATTTTCCATTTGTCATTTTTATCAAGTTAATGAGTACACACCATGAGATGTACGATAAATTATTTATATCTTTCTTATATCAAAACATAAGTATATATCTAGTAATGTACATATGTACGTAATATTTCTTCATAGAAAAAATATAAAACAATTGATCTCAGAATAATATATACCAATTATATTATTCAAAAATTTAATTAAAAATATCATTGAAGCATATGATTATGTAAAAATACTTACAGTATTTTATACTTTAGAATGATAGAAAGATTCTTCCTCTCATATTTTCTGAATCCAATTTTTTTGCAGTATTTTTATTACAAACAATTATTATAAATAATTATTATCATTATAGATATTATTTCCTTGCCGAATAAAAAATATAAAAGTAGCGAAGTAGCAGAGTTCTCAATCTACCGATTCTATATGATGTTATTATATGTAGTAAATATTATATTGTACACTGTTACAATATTTATCTATCGCTACAGAATAGATGATAATTGAAGCATTTTGAATCTAATAAATATTTTTCCTTATTTCATATTGTAAACCGATGAATAAACGATAGCAGTAGACACTATCTTCTTTCAACTTTGACGCAATAATGATGGCGCGGAGTCGTAACGTAGAGAAACTATATAAATAGAGGAAGAGTGGGTGATTGTTTCATTAACGATTGAAAGTCTGGAGTGGTGCGTTGGTTATGTCGTGGCTCGAATTTTCGTTGATCTCGCTTTTGCTATTCTTCACCCATGGACATGGGGCGAGCATTCCAAGAAGGCAAACACAAGTTTGTGGTTACGAGGTATTCGAAAATTAATTCTTTATTTCAAAATAATAATAATGCTAAATCCATTGAATAATAAATTTTTTTATTCACAGTTTTATATCTTACATAAAGATATCGCTAGGCTGTATTAATATCAGACTGTTCTTTTTTTTTTTTTTTTGTTTTACTTTTATTTGATCACTTTGAAAATTATTCTAATTAAAACGATCAAATTTATATTTATATATATTTATAAAGCGCTTTAAATTTTTAAAGTTATCAAATAAAAGTAATTTTTTGAGTAGAAATAATTTCAATAAAATTATATAAAATTCTTAAATATTCTTTGTATGATATGTAAAATTTTTTGTATTATCATTTTTCACTTCATTATTCTTTATCATTCTCATGGATATATTCACTTCATTAATTAGTATTTCTTAATTAATAATTTACAATAAATATAATGTTAAACACATAATTAATCACAGTATATATATATATATATATATACGAAGAATTCTTAAAAGAACATATAGTAGTAAATACCTAAATAATTAAGTACAATATAATTAATTAACAATATAATTAATAATACCAATTATTTAAAAATTGCGCGATATTTTTACTAAATTTCATTTAGTAAAAAAATTAATCTTTAAAAAATAAGATTATATAAAATAAGTTATGATAATGTGATTAATTTGGTTGATTGATCATGATAATGATATCATTCAAACTCTATTCGTAAATATCGATTAAAAAATAAAGGTCATTTTTATTTGTATTATTATATTTCTTGATGTATATAATAATTTAAATAATTATAATTTCTTCTTCATATAATTTAAAATAAATTTTGTATGGAATGATCATAAAGGATGATTAAAAATACGTATTTTACATATTTCAAGTTTATATATTTCAATTTTTTTAGTGAAACATATCTTCCAATGCTTTCTTATCTGTCCAGCTTTATTTACATTTCTCAAGAGATTTTAAATTTTAAAAGATATTGAAGGCTCTCCATAATAAATATTTGTTCATTTATATCTGAATATCATTTAAGATATCGCTTATATCTGATTTTTATATTTAAAATCACAACAACATGTCAACAACACAATCGTTAAAACTAGTCTAGCATTCTTTAGATTTTTTTAATTAACATATTAAAAATTGAAATACAATATTTTTATGATAAATTCTAAGAAATTTTTTATTATTATAGGCATGTCCTGTAACGGATTCAAAAAAACTAAATATTCATTTAGTAGCTCATACTCACGATGATGTTGGTTGGTTGAAAACGGTTGATCAGTATTATTTTGGAAGTAAGTCACGCGTTATAATTTATTATTATACGATAATTTGTAAAACAACATTATTATATAATAATAAATAATTAAAATAATAATTATTATAAAAAAATAAAAAATTATATATATAATAAATATATAATATTAAATTTTTATTATTTTTTTTTTTAAGGTCGTTCAAATATTCAAAAAGCAGGTGTACAATACATTCTTGATAGTGTGATTGAGGCGTTATTGGCGAATCCTGAAAGAAAGTAATTAAAATTTATTTTTATATTATTTATTACAATGAAACAAAAATATTATATTAGGATATTTTCTCAAATAATAATAGTATCAAATTAAACGAAACTAATTTTATGAATTATTCATTAAAAATCATTCGTACCATAAAAATTTATAAGATTTATATTTATCTGATCAGATTCATTTACGTGGAAACTGCATTTTTATGGAAATGGTGGTTGCGTCAAAGCGAAAAAGTCAGGCAAGATGTGCGAGATCTAATAAATCAAGGAAGATTAGAAATTATCGGTGGTGGATGGACTATGAATGATGAGGCAGTTACTCACTATCACTCTCTTATAGATCAATATACTTGGGGATTCAGGTGATAAATTTTCGATTAAATCAATAATAATTTTTCGCCAAATTTAATTTAATTTCTTCTTATTTGCACTTTCTTATATTTCATTTTAATTAATTTATACAGATTATTACAGATATTTAGAGAAAATTTTTTTTACTACGTCATTTTGATTCTAAAAATTAATTTTTTTTCATTTTTCCAGACGTCTTAACGATACCTTCGGAAGCTGTGCAAGACCATATATAGGATGGCAGATAGATCCTTTTGGTCATTCCAGAGAACAAGCATCTTTGTTTGCACAATTAGGATTCGATGGAATGTTTTTCGGTCGCCTCGATTATCAAGATAAGATCAAAAGGCTCAAAGATAAAACGATGGAATTCATTTGGAAAGGAAGTCCGAATCTAGGTAATGACCTAAAGCTTAAGAAACGCAACTAGTAACAATTGTTATTCTTATTACATTAACAATTTGTATTATAGGATCACGAGCAGATTTATTCACAGTTGTACTGTACAATAATTATAGCCCACCACCTGGTTTCTGTTACGATGTCTTGTGCAATGACGAACCAATAAACGATGATCTCGAAAGTCCAGATTATAACGTTAACGATAGGGTATTATTCGCTTTCGAATCATTTTTTCTAAACTAACACTTCATATATAACTGATAATTACATTTTTTAATAGTGCAATAAATATTTTTTTGTCATTTGACAAAAAAATTTTCAAGAAGTTATTTACAAAAAATGATTTGAAAATTTTTAATGGGAATTCATTAATGGACTTTGTGTTTCCTTCCTTTTTATTAACTCTATTAATATTAATTTGTGTATTAATACTATTAATACATCTCCAGTTTATTATTTCTTAATTATGTCCATTAAAATTTAATCTCATAATCAGTTTGCTACTTCAGTCACGTTTTAAACAATACAATTGATCTTCAAATCTTTTTCGAATGAAACTGATATCTTTTGTATATAACAGGTCAATAGATTTTTGCAATATGTGGTTCATCAATCTGAAGTATATCGTACAAATAACGTCATATTAACAATGGGAGGAGATTTCACTTATCAACAAGCGGAAATGTACTTTTCTAATATGGACTTACTAATAAAGTAGCTTTATTTCGTTAAAGCCTCTTAGTTTCATTTCACATATAAAAGGTATAGGAAGAAAAGGAAGGAAAACGTCCTGTAATTTTAACATCTTCTCAGATAGCATAGAAACATCTTTTTTTTTATTAAAAAAAAAAAATCAATCATGATAAATATATTTAAAGATAAAATTATCGAGAGTTATTTTCAAAAGTATTTTTTGTAATTGAAAGTTATATCTAATTACTAATTTTCATTTTCAACATTGTGTTGAAATTGAAATTCTAAACAATGTGCTATCTGGGATACATTGGTAAGTAAGATAATATATACGGTATTGGCAGGTCGAACAATTAGTGAAATACGCTCATCTTCAAGCAAAGTTCTACAAGACTAATAATGTAATTTTTACAATGGGCGAAGATTTTAATTATCAACATGCTGAAATGTGGTTCATTAACTTAGAGAAATTGATCAGGTAAAACATGTAGAATTTCATGTAGAATGTTCAAATAAGTAATTTAAAAAATATGAATATTGATATTTTTTACATGAATTATATTTCTTATAATTTTTTACATCCTATTTTTAGCTTTCTTAAATATTAGAATTAAACTTAAAAAACTTATGATCGTTAAATCAAATCTATTATTTTAAGTAGAAAAATTTTTTACACATAGTAATTCATATTTATATAGATATGTGAGAGAAAGAAATAGTTCCGACGTGAATATATTTTATTCTACGCCATCGTGCTACTTAAAAGCAGTACACGACGCAAATTTGCAATGGACGACGAAAGAAGACGATTTCTTTCCCTACGCGAGTGATCCACATTCATATTGGACTGGCTATTTCTCCTCCAGACCAACGATCAAATTCTTCGAAAGAATGGGAAACAATCTTTTGCAAGTAAGAAACAAACATTTCGTTCGTATTAAAAATTATACGTTTACAATTAAAAGTAAGAAAATTAAAAACACGATTTTTTCACGATGCAATTCTAGATATCCAAGCAATTGTCCGCATTGACTCAATTGAAAGATCACGAAAAAGAATTGGAATATTTTCGAGAAGCAATGGGAGTGTTGCAACATCATGATGCGGTCTCTGGAACTGAGAAACAATTAGTTGCAAATGATTATGCCCGAATATTATATAATGGCATGGAACAAGGAACAAACATTGCTTACGAAGCCTTAAGGTGTCATATTTTTCTGACAATTTTGCTATTTTTTTTTTAATTTTTAATCGAAAAATTAATATCTCGAAATTTATTATTATAATTTTATTATTATTATTTCTTTCATAGAAAATGGATGTTAAAAGAAAATTCAGAGTTTTTAAAAGGGCACATACACTCTTGCATGCAATTGAATATTAGTTCGTGTACGTATACAGAAGGCAACGATTTCATTCTAGCAATTTACAATCCTTTGAGTCAGAATGTCGTAACACCTATCCGCATTCCTGTCCAAGAAGATGCATACACAGTTGTAGATCTCGCAGGTAATCAAAACGGATGATTAATTTTGATGACAATTTAAAATACTGTATGAAATTGAAGTAGAAAATATTACTTCCTAACATTTAACGTGGAATGTATTAATATGTTAATCGATATTTAACTTTCTTTCAAGATGGAAAAGAAATGATTTCACAAATAGTTCCCATTCCTAGTTCCGTGCATGCAATACCGGGAAGAAAGAGTAATGCGATGTACGAACTTGTATTTCTTGCATCATTGCTACCTTTGGGTTACAAGTCTTATGCCATCAAAAGAGCAGGAAGCGCAAGACAAGAAACTGTGGAGGAAGAAACTTCTATTGGTAACGAGGTATAAAATTTATTGTTAATAGAAAATTCATCTTGACTTTTGACAAATCGTCGAAAATTATTCTCTGAGAATTACGACCCATAAATTGGAAATTTATATCTTAAAAATTATTTCAAAGTTAGAAATTTATAACAATCCATTTCTAATTTTACGAAATTATACGAAATGTGTAAATGTGTTATAATAATATATAAATTATTTCAGTTTTATAATATATCGGTGAACCAGTATGGTCATATCGTAGTCGAATGGAAGAAGAAAAAAATATGACAGTGACTCAATCGTTCCATTATTACGAAGGAATGGAAGGAAACAATAAGGAATTTAAAAATAGATCTTCAGGCGCATATATATTCAGACCCAGAAACGTATTCGTTAAAAATTTCGTAACGCACGGTACTTACAAAGTGTACAAAGGTAATTAATTCATTAATGAAAGATACATCAGGAAAATGATCAAATAACATTAATAAATTTGATTCATTTTATAGGCCCATTGGTAGAAGAAATTCATCAATATATCAATGATTGGGTATCTCAGGTAATCAGAGTTTACAATGGAATAGAATATGTTGAATTCGATTGGCTCGTTGGACCAATACCCATCAAGTAAGTGAATCAAATATGATATATAATCAAAATGAAGAAATAATAGAATAATTCAAATAAAGTATTACAAGTTATTTGCGAACAATGAAATGAAATAAATACTGATAATGAAATATTATTATTTTAGAGATATGATTGGCAAAGAGATAATAACGAGATACTACAGCAATTTGAATTCTTCTGGAGAATTTTACACTGATAGTAATGGTCGTGAAATGTTGAAACGAAAAAGAGATTATCGACCGACGTGGAAAGTAAAACTGCAAGAAGAAGTGTCTGGCAATTATTATCCCGTTACTTCGAAAATTTCATTGAAAGATGAAGAAAGACGTCTCAAACTTAGTTTATTAACAGATCGAGCGCAAGGTGGAACTAGTTTGAAAGATGGAGAGATCGAAATGATGGTAAAATTAATTTGTGTTATACGCCAAAGGGGGAAAAGTAAGCATATCCATATATTATAGGTTCATAGAAGACTTCTCAAAGACGATGCATTCGGTGTAGGAGAAGCTCTCAATGAATCTGCATATGGTGAAGGTTTGGTGGTTAGAGGTTCTCATTATATTATCGGTGGTAGCATAAAAAATTTAGATGAACTTGCGATAAAAGAGAAAAATTTGGCGCTTCAACTGTTACTTCGTCCATGGCCTTTTATTATATCTAATGAAAATAATTTTTCGACGTATGCTATCTCGCAAGTAAGTACACCAAGTAAATGGTATTTAAGTACAGAAGTATAAATCATAGACATATCATAGAAACGAGTTAGAATTTTTGTTATTTATTATTAATTTATAGAATATAGGTCTTGCCAAACCGTTGCCACCAAATGTTCACATTTTAACTTTGGAACCGTGGAAAAAAGATTCTCTTCTATTAAGATTAGAGCATATTTTCGAAATAGGTGAAACCGAGAATTTATCGAAACCTGTAACAATCAATATACAAGTATGTTTCGAATTATCTTTTACAAAATATCCAATACCGTACATAAAAATACGTTAATATTTAATTTATTTTCGTTATGATTTGTTACAATAGGATCTGTTTAAAACTTTTACGATCATATCCGTTAAGGAGACTACGTTAGGTGGTAATCAATGGTTCAAGGAGATGAATCGTTTGAAATGGGATGCCGAGACGAATGATATTCTTCAATCGGAAGAAGAATATCAGCCTGTAGAAATTAAAGATGGTATCATAAATGTAGTTTTGAAACCAATGGAAATACGAACATTTGTCCTTAAAATAGTACCAAAACGTCTAACTAAAATTCTCTAAATTGAAAACAAAATTTATTTTCATTAAGAATTATGTTTATTGTATTTGATATATATACGATAATAGATTTATTATTGTTGTTTATTAATATTTTATTGAAATAAGATATAATAAATACAATATTTGTATTTTATACTTTTTTAACAACATCTTTACTTTTTAAAAAATAAAAAACAATAATTTTTTTTTTATCGCTGTAAACAATATATATTGCTTTTTGTTATTGAAAGTATTAGTTTTTATAGCAAAAGATATATTTCTTTTTATAGCAAAATATGTTTTTCTTCAAAACGTGATATTTGGAATTACTTAGAAGACATAATACTATTTTTTATAACGCATATTAACTATTTTTATACCGAAAAAAATAATTTGTTTTCATTTTTTTTTATATTAGTTATTTTTTGTCGTATCATTTTAAATATCGTACGAAATAGATTAGACAGAAATAGAATCAGAAGAATTATTAATTTTTATCGATTCTTTATTCTTATAATACAAAATAACATTATTTTCTCACTTTTTTTCATTGAAACGTTTATCGAAAGACTTTGGGCAGTACAAAATTACAAATATAAATAAACAATTAATAAATAAATAAAATAAAAAATAAAATCCACATTCACTCTTGATTTCATAAGTGTTAAAAGTGTCCACCTCTCTTCTCGATACACAATCCCTGCCTCTTACGGAACGATTGTTGAATTCGTTTGAACAGTTTGAACCTTCGCTCCAATTTTCTTACACTTGTCTATGATTCGCATCTGCAAAATATTCTCGTCGTACACCGGCGTTTTGTACACCAGTTTTCAAGTAACCCCACACTGAAAAATCCAATGAATTCAATTCGGGAGATCGAGCGAGCTACCGCGATCTATCCATCTATCGGGATATTTTTCGTTCAAATATTGCGTGGCATCGGGACCGAAATGGATCGGTGACCCGTCGTGTATAAACCACATGTCTCTTCTCACGTGTAAACTCACACCTTCCAACAATTATGGTAGGATAGTTTTCAAAAATTCCAAGTAAATCTCTCTCGTAAGGCACACCGATAAAAAAAACGGACCTATCAATTTATTGTCCAACACGCCCAGCCACATGTTCACGCTAAATTCCCTCTGATACTTATCTTGCATCGTGCATTGTGGATTTTCCTCCGCCCACGTGTGTTTGTTGCGCGCGTTGAAAAGTCCAGATCGCGTGAATATCGCTTCATCGATGAACGAATACGATTCGTCAGAGTGGAATTTTGGTTGCACATTTGTTGCATCAAGATCGAAAATGTCAATCTTGGAGAGAAATCTTTGTACATTAATTCTTGTACACGTTGCCAATGATACGGGTACAATTTGTTCTCCCTTAAAATTCTCGTACGATACGTGATTGATTCGTTGATTCCTCGCTATCTCACGTGTGCTTATGCTCGGATTGTCCTCGGTTTGATGAAGTATCGCTCTCTCTATCATGATCGTTCTCTTAGTCCTCGGCTTTCCAGAATTATGACTTTGCTCGATGAACATGGTTATGTAAACGCTCTATCACACGCTGAAACGTTTTCTCGTTCGGTATTTTTCGTTGGAAAACGCTCTGTGTATATTTTTCTCGCCTTGTACCTGCTCGCGTTCGCCTTCCCATTGATTGAACCATATCCATCATTTCCGTGAACGAATATCGTTCTATTTTTTTCGATAACCAATCCTCGATTCATTACACCGAGTGGAATTGTTCCGTTTTACATCACGATAAACATTGAAGTGTTGTAGATAAAGTACACTGTGTTTACTATTTTCGCTTTGTTCGCTGTTCGCGTATTAAAGCGAGAAACATTAGAGTGAATAGAAGCAGTTGTTAACATAATCGATTGACTTGTTAAATGAGCTGATACATCGATCTCGTGATATTCAAATCATGTTTTTCTTCGTTGGAAATACCTGCACATGAAAGAAAAAGTATAATGTGTTTAATATTGTATTAGTAATCTAGTATTAATAAAGTAGATATATTGAATAATGTGACAATTTCGATATAATTAATTATATATAAAATAATAAAAGTATAAGTAATCGATTCGAAAAATTATTATTAAGTTAAAAAATTCAATTTGATAAGCTCTGTGATATTTACTCTGTAGACTTTGTGTTCGGCCAAATGCGTACGCTAACGTGAGGTCGCGTATAGACGACCTTACATAAAATTAGACTATCGTAAAACTTCTCGTACCCGAACTAGACAGTGACAAAAATTTTCCGATGTTGAATTTTTTGTTGAATTTTATAATAAAATAGTAAATAATATTCTTGAATATATTAAAATTAAGAATTATCCCTCGGGAATACAAGAAATTCTCTTATTATTTTTTTATTATTCTCAAAGATTCGATTTAAAATAAGATTGCAACTAAAATTATAAATAAGAGAAAGAACAGATATTCTGTTACAAAATATATAGATCTCGTAGATCTATAAAAAGCTCTGCATTTTACATTATATTTATATAAACTGTTGTGAAACAAATAAACATAATAATTTTGCACTATGTATATTTTTTTAATTGTTAACAAATTAAGATTAGAAATAAAATTCTTATCTTACAATTATTTTTAACAAAATATTTTAATAAAAATATTTTTTGTTAAAAATAAAAAGAATATTTGTTTTTAGTTAATTACAACGTTATTATAATTTATAAATTAATGATTAACATAATATTGTTATAATTAATATATTGTAGATTATATTTTCAAAGATAAAGTTAAATTTTTTTCTAAAATACTAATTATAATAAGTATGCTTTTCAGATATTTTAAAAATATACATATATTTTGTAAGGTAATTTTGTAAGTATAAGCAAGAGTAAGTAGTGAGAAAAGGACAGAGATAGGATAAAAATATGAGAATCAGCGCCATCTTCAGTGTGCCGTAAATGAAACTCATATAAAAAGGATAGAAAATAATAAAAAAAGGATAGAGATAGATAAGAATTGATTACTACCGCCATCTTTTAAAAATTAAAAATATCACTTCAAAAATAGGTAATAAAGATGGTGCTAATCGACAATTCCTAATCTTTGTTATCCTGTTTTTGAAAAAGTATCTTTATCACTCCATAGATGACGCTGACGGTCAATTCTTACCTTATTTCTATCTTTTTCTTACTATTTTCTGTCCTTTTTATGTGAGTTTCATTTACGGCACTCTAGAGATGGCGCTGATTCCCATATTTTTACCTTATCTCTATCCTTCTTCTATTATTTTCTCTCTTTATCTATACAAAGTAATCACAAATAAAGTGGGAAATATTCAAAAATTTCAAAAAAATGATATTATTAATGATATTGATTTGGCGGGAAAAATCTGAACTTGTATATTATTTGAAGTTAGATATTTTTTTGACATCATAGAACCTGTAACCTTTTATTATGTAAAATTCTATCAACAAACTTTCCAAATAACTTATTAAATTTTTGAAAGTTCTCGTAAGAAATCTGAGATGACATCTCAGAATAATAAATATATTTTTTCGTTAATAATAATAATACTAAATTACATTAGCAAAGATATTACATACAATAATTTATATTTAATTACTTATCATAGTAAGTGTTAACAAAATATTACCAAAATTATAAAATTAATATTAAATTATATAAAAGGAATTATATATAAAAGAAAATAAAAGATTTTTATTTTTTTATTATCGACAATTAGATATTTTTATTATATTAAAATATAATATAGAATATATAAAATATAAATATAAATATATAATATAAGAAACACAAATAAAATATATGTTTAGTATTATGTATAATGTTGTATTTTTTTTAAATATTCATAAGGTAATAATGTGAATCGATGAATATATCTTCAAAATATTTGTTGTACATTGTATTTATATACATGTATTAGATGACGTCAGAAGATGATGCTTGGGCTCAAACTCTTATCACAGTAACTCCAGAAGAGGATGCAACATTAAGAAAAATTGCGGATACAACTATAGTATCATCAACACAGGACGTAAATTTAGTTCTTGATCCTGATGAAATCGTAATGAGACGACCGCTTAGACAATTTGTAGATACTAAAGAAGCAAAAGATGAGGTACCAGTAGAGCCAGAAAAGCTAGAACAGCCAGAAGAAAAACCCAAAGAAAAACCCGAAGATGCAGAAGTTCAAACATATTTACAGGGAATACCAGTCGTACATATTTCTACCGAATACCGAGATGAAGCCTCACAAACGATGTATATGCATCCACCATACCCACCTTTACAATATTTTAGAGATATCATGAGTATGCGATTTATTATTCTTCATAATTATTTATCACATCTGTATCTTTTTTTTTATAGAAATATGAAATAATAAAATTAAAATTAATTGCTTTGTAATATTTTTTAGGATTTTTACACATTAAAGATATAGACAAATATATTTTTAATTTCTATTAAAATATATGCCATACAGCATCTATGAAAGAGGGTCCCATGCCCGATTTAAAGAGGAGCAACGTAGCTGCAACTATTATTAGCTTCCATCCCGAAACACCGCAAGATGTTGTGATCGATCAACTATCCGCGGACGTCACGGACGAAGAACGTGAAGAATTCGTTTCTAAACTTAGCGACGAAGAAGAAAGGGACATGGACATCGCTGAAATATTACATTTTATATTAATACGTGTATTTTGGATAGATGATCCGACCAGTCAAATACAACCTGAGACTGCGGATAAAACTGTGCAAACTTATATCAAATATAATAATCGCACGAAAATCTTCGTCATAGATAATCAAGTACAAACTGATTTGAGTTGCGAACCGAAAGAGTCTAACACGATGCTTTTATCGGATTATTGGGAACAAGAATATGATATTGAATTACTTGGAAGATTGTATTACTAAAGGAATTGAAGTTAGAATCATAGTAGATGATATAATAGATGAGATCATTGATAAATGTGCCGAAAGAGTTAGATATCCCATGAAAGAACAAAGCATACAAACTATAGCTACGTACAAATTAGATAAAACAGAAAAAGATGTGTTGAAAAAATTAAAACTCGATATAATCGTGGATCCCTTAGAAGCATCGATTATTGTTCTACCTTTGATAGACGATTTGTTGCAGATAGTTTGCGTTAATGTATCTAAAAATGCCGCTAAGAATGTTAAGATCATTTTAAATAGAATTCTACAGCGGACGACAAATATAATAACAAAACTTATGGAACTAGAAAAACAAGCACAGCGTTAGTATCAATATACATTAAAACGTTACGTTATTCAAATTTCACTGTCATTGTCATTGAATTATAATTAAAAATTTCATTTTTATTCCTTCACACATTATTTCCCACTAAAATAAGATATAAGATTTAACCAATTTTATTATTATTATAATATTTAATTCACTATGAAACAATAACATTTTTATATCTATATGTATATCAAATACATTTTTATATATTTTAGGCAAGCCAATAGATCAAGTGTTAGCTAAAAGAAAAAAGAAAATTCTTGAATTGTTGTCGAAGAAAGAAACAGAAACAATTGCTACACAAACGAGTATAGCAGCAATTTCTGAAGTCAAAAAAATTATAAAATCGAAAGAAGTTTTATGTTCCGTCTGTAGAAGACAGTCAATGTGTCAATATTGTACGAATAGTCAAAAAATTGAAGATGTTCCACAAGAGGAATTTAAGATTCTTCGTACACAAGATATATTGTTAGCATATAAACCCTGTTATATTATGACCAAAATATCCCAAGAAAACAAAAACCTTGAAATCACTTGTCCAGAAAAAAATTTGAAATCTTCTTCAAAACTTCAAGTTTCTTGCTCGATGGATTCAAAAGAATCTCGTCATACAATTTGTGTATTTTTACAATCTAATAAACTTGAACCTCGAGGTAAATACGTTTAATGAAAGAAATTTTGTATTTAATATAATTATTATTTATTTTTTTATTTATTTTTTATTATTATTTTTCAGAATCATTTAACGAATGGTCTTATGTAACTGAGGCTACAATAATGAAACCATGTTCTATAAAAGGTAAAATTATTATTATTTATATATAATATATACATATACATTTTAACATAAATTTATTATTAAACAAATAATATATATATATTAAATTATATTTTATAGAATCCACAAATAACTCAAGTCAAACAACTGTAAGTTCGTTAGATCCATCATTTCAGCCAGTTTTGTGTAGCACCCATAGTACATTAACTTCCCAAGCAGCAACCGCTTTGCAAATATTAAAAAATACATTTTGTACTCGAGAAACTTGTTTTATTTCCTCGCAACAAACTTCGCTTATGGAGAATGAAAAAGTTTGTAGTTGTAGTAAATCAAGTTTAACTATAAATAACACGAGCTGTACACAACAAACGTGTAAAGCTTTCTCAAAATTACATTTACCTAATACATGTAACATTCAATGTCCTATAAAATCACATGGAGATGGTTTTAAAATTATCCCTATACATCTTTCTAAAGATTCTTCTATTTGCAATTAATATACAAATTAAAATATTATTTTACATATATTTATAATTATAATTAAATGTATACATTACAATAATTAATACATTCTTAAGATATTTATTTGACAGAAATAAATGCATATACACTGTTTAAGTATTCTCAGCCAAGCTACCTATGTGTCGTAAACATAAACATTCATAATATTATATGATACATTTGTGATATTACATTCATTTATTATATATGCCTCGCATAAAAATAATTATATAAATTATATACATACATAATTATATTTCGTACATAATTCTTAAATTAATTACAATGAAACATGTATAAAAATATATTTATGAGATCCCTCTCATATTGTAGTTTATAAAGCTTATGTAAATAAAACATTATAAAAATATATATACTATTGCTCATGTTATACCATTCGTATAAAGTTCATACATTTCTTCTTATTAACATTTTTATCATGATAAATTTTATTTGATTTATTTTTATAAAAGTGCATATTTTATATTTGTGCTTTTATCAACATATTCATTACATATTTATGTAATATATGAAATGGAACGTTTTAATAAAAATATGTACTTTTAAATTGAAATTCTTAATTATTTAAGTCAGAAAAAATAACTTAATATTATTTTATTTTTATATAATTTATGAACAAAAACTAAATTTGCACATAATTAATAAAAGTACACACAAAATATTGTAAGTTACATTATTATTATTAAGTTAAATTATATATTATTTTTAAGACTTATGTTATAAATATCTAGTATAAATACTTAAAGAAAGTATTTTTAATTTGTTCTGAGGTCATTATTAAATAAAACGAGTATTTTAAAAAATGTTAACAATGGCAAAAATAATTAAAAATATCGATTGAAGAAATGACAGATAAAAAA